GCTAACAGTACAAGCTGGGGGACAAGACAGACTACAGCCTTGCCAAAAAGGACTTGAGGGCAGTGATGGTTGGTAAGCTGGACATGAGCTAGCAATAGAATCAAAGAATCCTTAGTGTTGGAAGGGAACTCTGAAGGCCATCTAGTCCAGGCCCCCTGCAATGAACAGGGACACCACAGCTAGATCAAGTTGCCAGGGCCTCATCCAGCCTCACCCTGAAATTCTCCAGGGACAGGGCACCAATCACATCACTAGGCAACCTGTTCCACTGCCTCATCATCCTCACTCTAAAAGATTTTTTCCTTATATCTAACCTAAATCTACCTTCTTTAAGCTTGAAGACATTTCCCCTTGTTCTGTCACCACATACCCTGCTAAAGAGCCTGTCCCCTTCTTTCCCATAGCTCCCCTTTAGATACTAAAAGGCTGCTATCAGGTCACCCCGCAGCCTTCTTTATTCCAAGCTGAAAAGCCCCAGCTCTCTCTGCCTGTCCTTGCAGGAGAGGTGGTCCATTTCATGGATCACGATCAATGTGCCCTTGCAGCCCAGAAAGCCAACCATATCCTGGGCTGCATCAAAAGAAGCATGAACAGAATGTCAAGGGAGGTGATCCTGCCCTGCTTCTCTGAACTGAATCTTACCTGGAGTACTGTGTGCAGACATGGAGCCCTCAGAACAGAAGAGACTTGAATCTGTTAGAGTTTATCTAGAGGAGGGCCACAAAAATGATCCAAGGAATGGAACGCTTATCCTATACAGACAGGCTGTGAGAACTGTGGGGACCAAATAGTGATCTTTCAGTATCTAAGTAGGGGTTATAAGAAAGAAGGGGACACTGTTTCACAGGGTCTGCTGCGAGAGGACAAGGGGAAAGAAGTGTGTGGAAGTGTGCAGAAGATAACTCCCTTACACAGCTGGTAAGAGAGCCTACTGAGAAGGCGCCCCACTAAAACTGCTGTTCACAAATAGAGGACTGGTGGGAGAAGTGGAGGCCAGGAGCTGCCTTGGGCAGCGTGACTATACAATGGTAGAGTTCTTGATTCTTGGTGAAGTTTGGAGGGGGATCAGCAAAATCACTAGCTTAGACTTCCAGAGGGTGGACTTTGAACTGTTCAGGACACTGGTAGGGAAGGTCCCTTGGAATTCAGTCCTGCACAGTAAAGGAGTCCAGGAAGGCTGGTTTTGCAAGAAGGAAGTCTTAAAGACACAGGAATAGGCTGTCCCCCTGTGCTGTAAGATGAGCTGGCAGGATAGACTGGTGTGGATGAATAGGAAACTTTTTCTGATTCCAGGAGAAAAAACGACAACCTACCTTCTGTGGAAGAAGGGAAGGGCAACTAAGGGAGAGTACGAAGAAGTTAAGATATGCAGAGAGAGAAAATTGGAAATGAAAAAGCCAAGTTTGAACTCAACTTGGCCACTGTAGTAAAAAAGAACAAGAAACTTTGTTACAATTATATTAAAAAAGAGGGCTAAGGAGAATCTCCAGCCTTTACTGGATGTAGCAGGGAACGGACCACTGAGGATAACTAAAAGGCTGAGGTTCTCAATGCCTTCTTTACATCTGTTTTTATAAGTCAGATCAATTATTGTCGGGACAATCAACTCCCTGACCTGGAAGTCTGGGATGGGGAGCAGAATAAATGCTCCACAATTCAGGTGGAAATAGACTGTTTCTTGAACCTGAAGAGGCAGACCTTATAGCTCTCTACTACTTGAAAGAAGGTTGTGTCAAGGTGGAGGTTGGCCTCTTCTCTCATGTAACTATCAACAGGACTAGAGGGAATGGCCTCAAGTTGCATCAGGGGAAGTTAGGGTTGGATATCTGGAAAAATTTCTTCTCCAAAAGAAATGGGCTGCACAAGGAGGTGGCTGAGTCATTGGCCCTGGAGGTGTTCAAGAAACATTTAGATGTGGTATTAAAAGATGTGGATTAGTGGAGAAATTGGTGGTAGGACAGATTGCCCAGAGAGGTGGTAGATGCCGCGTCCTTGGAGACTTTCAAGATCAGGTGGACTGGGCTCTGAGCAACCTGCTCTAGCTGTAGGTGTCCCTGTTCACTGCAGGGGAGTTGGACTAGATGACCTTTGAAGGTCCATTTCAATTCAAACAATTCTGTGACTATGAAATGAATTCTTGTACATGTCCCATTCTTGACTTCAGGAATATTTTTGTTTCAATAAAGATAAATAAATAAAAGTAATGGAATGAAGACTTTTTTTTTTTTTTTTTTTCAAATATTAAAAAATGCTAAAAGGCATCTTATTTCCAAATGAAATGAAGAAAATAAACAAGTTACATAAGATTTGAATCACACAATCTATCATTTGTTTCAAAGGATGTGCAAAAGGTTAAGCATCCCCTTGATAATACAAGAGGAAAAATATTTTATTATGATTATTTAATTCTAGCAACCTGAAGAATGTTGGATTTCACTGTTATGGTAACAATGAGATAAAGAAAACCAATTATGTAATTGGTATCCTTTAGACAAAAATTCTTCACTAATTAAGAACTATGGAATCACAGCCACAGTAAAAGAAACCATTATCTTGAGATATTTTCCTAGGTAATTCTAGCCAAGTGACTTTTATTTCATAAAGAAAAACAGAGATTTTAAGCACAGTAGTAAATATCTTAAGTACAGTAAAATGAATTTCCAGAAAGGAAGTGGTCTACAAGGTTAAAGCACTTTGGCTTCACGTCTGGTCTGTGTCAAACGTGAAAGCTTGCCCAGTGGTTAGTAACACCTCATACTAATTCTCAGTCAGGTGTTTGCACAAGAGCTCTAAACAAATCCAAATTTCCAGTTACGCAGTTAAAACTGACTAAAACTGCTTTGCCATGAAAGTGTATTTTAGAATAATTTTCATCAAGGGCAGTGTAGCTATTTCAGTAAGTGATATTTATTCTTTTCTTCAAGCAATATTCCTCAACATAGCATATTTCACTTTGGGAATTTACAACAGATAAAAAGCTGTCCAGACAGCTCCTCTTGGCACAGCACTGTCAGAACTGTTTCCTAAAAGGCCATTCCCAGCTAGTTCTTCACACCTTTTCACTCATTACTGTACTTACTTCTCCAGATAGTCATGCATAAAATAGAAAGCAGCACTGCACAATGCCTTGGATTCTTTAGAATTTTGAATGGCTACAGGCCCTCCATCTGTGCCTTCACAGCCTGTTTTCCACTGGCAGCTCTGCAGCCTCCCACCAAAGCTACCATGGCAGTATTTTTCACCAGTAGTTCTAATACTCTTGTTCACTGTTCTTCTTGTATTCTACTGCCTTTACGTCCCTCTAGCAAAACAGGAAGCACATCACTAATGGTGACAGAATGGCTTAGTGTTATTAAATCCTTATTTCCAATTTCTCAAATACTTTTAAAATAAACCAACTCTAAAACTACTCTGTAATATATTAACTTGCTATTCAACACAAACAGCAGCTGTAGCTGCCATAGGCATAGTCTGCACCTATGATTCACTAAGCAAATTATTTATGCCTTCTCAAGGATGGAATGGGCCTTATATTCTTGTGACAAACACTGGAGTCATGCATAATTTCAAAGGATGACACAACTCATTTGGATAAATTCAACTCCATGCCATGATAAAAAGTCAGAGAACACTCTCAAGCAGTACCTTCATGTATCTGCTACGCACAATTTACATAAGCTAATTCATGCAGCCTTATTCCAAGCTTCCAATGAGGCTGAACCTTAAAGCAGGCTGCCATGAACAAAAGTGTACTCATAGTTAATGTCTTTTTCTTCCTTTGACCTGCTAATAGTAACATGTAGATGTTTCCCATGTATTGTCAGAAACAACATGACATTTTTAAAAAACAAACAAAAGACAACAAAACTATAAACAAAGGAAATGCTTTAAAAAATTTTGTGCAACTGAAACCAACTGTATTATTAATGCATAGTAACTGAGAAAGTAGTGATACATTTCCATTCTTCAAGCAGAAACTTGCGTTCTAGGTGTCCAGTGGCACTTCACCTCAGTTTGAGAAAGTTCTGATTTTGCAGGCTGCTTACCCAGTGGGTGATTCTTCTGTTAAACTCCTTTTAAAAAAGAAAACTAAAAAATGTGGTTTAATGTCAGTCACCAGCAGAAGTAAAAAAGCTGAAAGATTTGAAAATCAGATGATCCTGTTAATACAACAGGACCATTCCCTGTTGTATTAAAACCCACAGTAGGCTCTTCAGCCAAGACCTCATGCTCAGTATCCCATTCGGCATGACTGAATTCCTTATACCTCAACAACTGAATAGGGGAGCAGGAATGTGAAGAAACAAAGCCCTGCATGCTTCTTGGCATGTTCTGGTGACATCCACTTGAAAGAGTTGTCCATCTTGTTCTTCATAGCTATCTTCCCTTACCTAACAGAAATAAAAAGCCAGCAGAACTCACAACCCCCAACTCAGACGAGAACCCTAGCCACAAAGTTACAGTTATACATCATATTTTAGATCCTTTTTTACTGCGTACATTTTTGACCACTGACCACTTGGAAATATGGTGCTTTTCTTTTCTTTTCTTTTTTTAAATAACACTCCACATAAATGCTTTATACACTATATTTATTTCATTCCCTTATCTACATGTCTCCATTTCATTAGTACCTCAAAGAAGAAGGTTCAGCATCATATCTGGTGCTGCAGCAAATTCTAGTTTGTTGTTCACAGTGTAAGAGAACAAACAAAATATAGGCTCTTCTACTATGAACACACGTCACAGATGCACACGTCGTCTTTTTCTTAAATGAAAAGATTATAACATGAGGTATGTCACACACAGCTTATAGAATAAAAAATAGTTCACTTGAAATTACAAATGCAAAAGAAAAGTTCTTTGGTGTTAAGGGCTGGAAGGTTCCCCATGATGCACCAAACTCTAGACCAGGCAGAAAAACGATCATGGAACACAGGAACAAAGGAGGCCAATTATGGAAAAATCTGAGAAAAGAGCTTGTGAAAAATCTCACTTACCTGCTTTAGCCGTTTACTACAGATTCAGCATGAGCTGATAAAAGATACCAGCTTCACACTTCAGTGTACAGTACAGCTGTGGTAGATGTCTTTAGATACCCCAAGTATCTGACAGCAGCATAGGCCACACGCATCAGAAACATATTCAGGACCAAAGTCTTAGTAAAGAAAAACTACATTTGTCATAGCAACTAACTGTACAACATCATCTCCACCACCACCACAAGTCCTTTCTGACTCCATGTCAAAGTTATAAAGAATGAATCTAAAAAGCCCACAATCAGGTAAACAAAACAAATGAACACTAAAGTACTTCTGGCAAGCTTGTTCAATGCTTGGATATAACGCATGTTAACGTAGTAATAAAAGATTAGCAGAAAATATGAAGAAGGGAGTCACAAGCCAATCAAAGAACAAGCAGATAAGTTACAAAGCCAGCAGATATACTGAGTTTAATTTCTGATTGTTGGAAAATACTCATTTCTAGACAATTTAAGCCTGAAAACATTACAAGCACAGAGCACTTTCTACACCATTTAGAATGAGTGACTTTACATCTTAGAAAACATGCTGCCCTCCTGACTCAGGCTACATGCTGTATCCACGCTGTGATGCATCCATAACATCACTGACTCCTCTGTTTCTACGGCCAAACTTAAGAAAGTATTCCCACGTTTGCCTGGATCTCTGCCACTTGCTAGCTTCTTCAGGGAGCTCACAGGCCCCACAGTCACCACTTACACTGGGGTCCTACAGCCAGCGCCCACACGGACCCCAAGCCACCTCAAGTTTGGGATTGGAAGCTCCCGGACACAGCCCACTCATTCCTTCCACACAGAAAGCCCAAAGATCCCACAGCCCCTCGCCTGCCTCACACCAGCGAACACTCAAGCCTCCTGCGCATGCGCCCTGCAGACCATTTCCCCTCAGTCAGGGCGCAGTCGCAATCCCGCGCAGGCGCACAGCCCTTAAGAGAGGCCGTCACCGCCCGCTTCCTCGCGTGCCGGCGTTCGCCCCGCCTCTTTCTTTCCCGCACCAAGATGGCGGAGTACGACCTGACCACGAAGATCGCGCACTTCTTGGACCGACACCTGGTCTTCCCGCTGCTGGAGTTCCTCTCTGTCAAGGAGGTACGCGCGTGCTCTAAGTGCGAGGGAGCCGGCTCTGGAGCGGACGAGCGGCGAGGAACGGTGTATCGGTGTATCGGTGCCGGGTGCCGCCGGTGCCTCTGCCTCGCCGGGGCCCTGTGGGCGCGGCCCGCTCCTGCGCCGGCTCGGGGAGTGCGCTGCGTGGGGAGGAAGCGGGAGGGCGGGAGCTGTGCCTCGCGTGGCCGCTCGCTCTCCGTCGCTCTGTGATGGTGCGGGCCGCTCCCCAGGTATGGCTGTCAGCGGCGCTGGGCCATGGGGCCCGGGCGGCGTTACTTACCGGCCTCTGCGATGAAGCGTTGCCGCTCTGGTTTTATTTCTGCGCTCAGATCAAGTGCAGGACCCGCCGCGTCCCATCCCTCGTTGTTTTTGTGGGTGTGAAGCTGGATCCCCGTGTGAAACCTGGTTGTGCCAGAGGTGCTTCACGCTGGACTTGTGTCAATCAAAATTACTTAAAGTACTTAGTTCCAGTGTCTTAAAAAGGAGACAAAAAGTGCAAGGCTGCCCAAGTTTGGATTTTGAAGTGCGTACTATTATGGGTGCCATAAAAATAAGCTAGCCCAACATGCATGTATGGGACAACATGGCCTGCCGAGTTCTTCTGTCTGGGGTGTGGGTTTGAGTTGGTAACAGTCATCTCCGGGGTGTTTTTTGTGTTTTGGCATTTGTGAACCACTACAGGTTAAGCAGAGATATTATTGCAGTGTGTTATCTTGACTACTCTTCAGTTCAAAGCTGAACTTAACCTCTTAAGTTTTGTGTCTGAGAGATCATGATGCAATGAAGTGTAACGTAGCCTTCATACATGTGCATGTTTGAGTTTTTTGGTAGTTCACATCCTCACCTGAATCTTAAAGACCTAACATTTATAATGCATAGCTCAGTTATTACCAAGACCTTTAAGAAGTTAAACAAACTTAAAGAAAATGACCCAACTACAGAAGCTCAATGCAGCTTGCCTGAGGTGTAGACATATTTTAGATTAAGCTGTGCTACAACTCAAGTTTCATCTTGAGCATCTTTTGAGATTAAACTTGAGTAACTTGAGTCTACACTAGTCAGAATGCACTGTGCAAAGCATTCACTGAACTTTCCCTCAGAGCTGTGCTTCCTTAAGTTCTGGGGCCAGAACAGGTGTGTCTTTTATTTGTTGGTTTGTTTGTTTTAAGTCTTGGTCAGATTTTTCACGTTGGATTCTCTCCGCTTTCTCCATGAAGAATTCATAATTTGCTTTGGCCCACAAAGTAACTCATTTACTTTCATTAGGAATGATCATCTAAAAAGATGACTTGTCTCCTAACTATTCTTTTGAAGTTTCTGCTATTCATAAATAGCAGGAAATTAGCATTGTCTTACTGGTACTAGAAAAACAGAGACGCTTTATGGTAACCCTGCCACTTGACAGAGGTATCAGACCTTGAAAAGTTGAGAGGTTGATGTTTAAAATAATTTCGTTGGACAAAATTCATAAATTGAATGGTAACAATAAAGGTAATTAGGATAATTTGAAATGGTAAATGTTTAGCAGTATTCAAAGAAATCTGCTGATGATTTTTGTTTCAGATATATAATGAAAAAGAACTACTTCAAGGAAAACTGGATCTCCTTAGTGATACCAACATGGTGGATTTTGCTATGGATGTGTACAAAAATCTTTATTCTGATGAAATTCCACATGGTAAGTTGCTCATTTGATAAAGAAATATTTTTATATTTATTTAGCTTATAAATTAATAGCTGGTAGTATTTTTAATGTGGCACTCAAACTTCAGTACTGTTTTCCTTTGATGTTAAGGAAAGAATGCATAATACTGGAACATTGCGTACACCTGGTCTTAATCACTTGTATCTACAGATAAATGCTGCTTCTCTAGAAGGAGAAAGTCCAAATTAAATCATTATAGGCATACGAAAACTAATGCTTAATGTTCTATCATTAGGAAAAATATCTCCTTCTGCATGACTTTTAAAATTTTAAGAAGAAAATATCAGTCTTCCCACATGGCACCTTAGGGGGGAGAAAAATAAGATAACTAACTTTTAGCTTACATTATTTGTTTGTTTTTCCTTTATTTCTTTTCTTTCATTGTATCTTTATTGTGAGCTTTCTTATTCCTGATGCTGTTCTCTGAATAAGCACTTCACCCTGTTTACACACTTTTAGTTCATCTTATGGAGTTGTTCAATTTTTTCTAAACTGCAGTGGGTTTACAGCTTGCCTAGTCTGCAGCTTAGGAGGAAGAAATTCAGGTGTTTTTGCTTATCTGGGTACAGGTTCCAGCTGTTTTGCCTGAGTCTTGCTCATTCCAGATTCTTCAAACTAAAGACTCATAGCCCCTTTTGAAATACGTAGAACTGTTAAGACTTACAGATGATGGATTGAATGTTTTGATCAAATATGTCATATGTTAGCATTGTCTGTTTTTTATAGGTGTATATGCAGTGCTCCATTGGGCTGATAGTGCCAGTTATGAGAAGGTTATGAGAGGTTTTCACTTTTGTCATTCAAGGAACAGTTACAATGATAGCTTCACCTTTCAGTTCCATCAGGTGATCTCAGGGTTGTTAAATTCTCAAAGCTGCAGTTTATTTTTCTTCTCTTGCTCCAGACTTTCTAAACTACTAGAGAAGAATGTTACAGTATCAGTAGCATGCCTTCAAAAGTAATTAGTATCATATTTTTCATCTGATTACAGTGAAGTATTTAAGCAGGTTGTTAAGCTCTTTAGGTTTGAAAGCTCATAGCTGCACCTGAGTTGGATGAACTTGGCCATTGGGAAAACTGCCTTCATAGTGGCCAACAACTTTAATCTTGCTAATGATGTTTGGCTCTGCATGCATTTTGGAAGTATAGGACTTATCTTAGTATGATGACTTATTTGATATTGGCCTTTTTTTCTAAGAACAGGAAGTAGCAGAGCTAATGCTTTCACAAGCAATCTGAACAAACGACTCTTAGGTGGAACTTCCTATGCAAAGATAGCTTACATTTAACAGAATGTATGTATGTGCCATTTCTTTTTACTTGCAGGCTTACTGACTTCATTCAATTTTGCAGTAACTTTTTGCTAAGACCTTACTGTAGCAGAAATTTTCTAAAGTTAGTGTACTTAGATGTCTTGCCTTCCATAATCACCTTATGATTATGCAGCCAGTCACAGGGAAAGGGAAAAACGTTTGTTAGTAAGTTAACTGAATGTTTCTGTTTTTCATCTGTTTCCCTTTTTAAAATCTCAAGATTCTTCTGAAGCTGGAGATAATTTCTCCTTACTGGAATACTTCCTGTCAGGCAAGTCACTTCTGGATTTAGGTTGGGTCACTATAATGGTGTTATCCACTTTGGATATCCTCTACGAAAGAAATCATGAAAGAAAAGTCTGATGGACTCACTGTAATGCTCTGTGCCCTGGTGTGTGACCCTCTCCAGTGGCTTCTGGGTTCTATTATCTCCTAAGATTTGGTCTTGGTTTGTCTTTCTTGGATCCCATATGTTTCTTGGCGTGTATTTCCAGTCCTAAGGTGCTACTGTTTTGGTTTTTTTTTGTTTTGTTTTTAAGCACATGGGCTGGACTTTTATTTGTTTTATTGCACATGGAAGTCTTGGATGGCCACTTTTTCTTACTAATTTCTCATAAAGAGTTCTCAGTTAGCATGTGTAATGTTGTTAAATAGTTTAAAAATAGTTTAAAACCAGTTTTAGAACCTGGTTGGTTAGAGGAAAATCTAATTAGTATCATAGCTTAGGTTTTTTACTTTTTTTTTTTTCCCCAGGTTTATTTGGAATGAGCAAAGTTACTTAAAAAGGTGCTTCTCCTTTAGTGGAAGCCTGAACATACCTTATCTTGAGCCAAGGCTATTTTAGGTATCTGCTCTTGGGTGGTTTGATTAGAACTGTGCACACTATGAGAAACCATATGGTGGAGACTACTTGTTAAGCCAACAAGTTCATAGGTATCTCTGGTTTTGTGACTTCCTTGGAAGATCAAGCTAGGTAGCAATTGGAAGAAAACCTATTTAAATGTGATTACATGTTAGTTTCTGCAAAGACTCGATCTGTATGTGGAATTCTTTTTTTTTTTTTTTTTTTTTTTTTTTAAGCTTTGCGTGAGAAGAGAACAACTGTTGTTGCACAGCTGAAACAGCTTCAAGCTGAAACTGAGCCTATTGTCAAGATGTTTGAGGACCCAGAGACAACAAGGCAAATGCAGTCTACTAGGTAACTTTTAATGTATTTTCCTCATGAGGGCTTGTTGGTATCTTCTTAGGTGTTGATGGTAGGGGTGCTGTCTGTATACCAACTGCAAGGAAAGGTGTTTTTACTTCAACCATTGCAAGCAGTGTTTGTGATGAGGTGATTGAAGTTGCCTTAAGCAGCTTTTTGTTGCTTTTACCTGTTGTACAAAAATCTCCTCAACTAATGTTCAGCTGAACCAAGTGTGGACAAGTGCCAGGTATTATTCAGTACAGCCTGGATTTTTTGGAATTGAAATAAGGTTTGAAAAAAATGAAATTACTTTTTCATAACAGATCATTTATCTTCTTTCCTTTATCTGCCTTCCACAGGAGGCTGTAGAATGCTGTCTTTCCATTTTGAGAAGCTTTATAGTTGAACATCCTTCTGGTGTTGTAGCATATGTTTCTTTCAGGCATGTCCTCTTACTCTCTCCATTCCCTGCCTTGGACAGGTCAACTGAATGTGAGGTTGTGCTAGGAATTGCTTTTTTTAAAAAAAAAAAGATGTGTCCGATTTCTTAATTGATTTGGAGAATAATTAAAGTAGGACGAGAGTCTACATACTGCCTGTAAGGACTGTGAGTTTTATGGTTGAAG